AATAAATTCAAAAAAAATTTATTCTGATTTTCGACAATTAAAAGTGGGGCGTTACACTAATATTTTTTGTTTATTTTCTGAGAATTGTATTTGATTTCTATATGGTAGGATGAAGAAGAAAGAGTTTCTAGAGAGAGAGTAGAGAGAAGATGGAGGATTTAGAGAGAAATGGAAGAGAAAATATGTAACATAACTGAATTTGATTCTTTTCCATTCATTTCCCAAGTATTTAACAACTTGTTGGGCCCCATGTGCTGTTTTCACTCAGCTGGGTAAAACCCATCACTATTTTCACTAAACAGAAAATGCTAAATCCAAAAAAGGAAAATAAAAGATAAAATAGAAAATATAACAATAATATTTTCCACTTCAATGCTTCATCCCCATTACTCCACGTGTCCATCTAAAATGGCACCCTCATCTCCGCGATCAACGGTCGTGATCTTGCCACGCGGCGACTTCACATTCTCACTTCTTTCTTCCGACATAACCCTAGCTTTTGTCTCAGTTCCCATCTTCACCAAATCAATCGATTTGTTTTCTTCTTCATTCTCAACACACCATTTCTTCCCTTTGTTCGGATCTCTCATGTTATTCAACAGATTCATAACATGGGTAGCGTGCAACCTGTACAGTCTGTAACACCCCGCTATTTCATGAAAATCAGAGTGCATTTTTCGCAAAGTTTTTCAAAATAAAAAGATTTTAAGTTGCGAAATACTGATTCAGAGTGCTATTATAAAACGTGACTTGACCTGAAAACCGTTATTTTAGTTTTAAAGAAAAACAACCAGTTATCATAACATTTTAACCGACTGAAAGTCGGATCAAAAGCTAAGTTCGTCAAATAATCATAAACAGCGGAAAAATGTAGTATCGTCAAAATATTTTTAAACACAAGACTAAAAGTCCTGAACCGGCTGCCAGCTCACTCCTCGACTCCGACTCTGTTACCTGAAAAACATGAAAAATGTTGGGCATGAGCACTAAATCCACTATGCTCCGCAGAAACTCATACTAAAGTAAACAGTAAAAATAATTACAATAACATGATCTTGGCATATATATAACTGAACTGAACTGAAACCGGTACTGAATAATCATGATCTGATACTGATGGTGAGATAATAATCACCTGCCTGCTGAACATCTGCCAGCATAAATGCCGGACACCATGTGCACACTCTAGTGGGCAGACTAAGGCCACTAGAACCCAGAATGGACCGGTGACCATTCCGAGCGGATACTGATAAAACATACCTCAAACATGGTAGAATAATTATAATCAATGTAATACCCAGTTTGAGTCCCCACCTGAACTGCTGATCTGAAAATGTAAGTGCTGATTGTCTCGAACTGATCAAATTGTAACATATATATACAAATACTAAGTACTATGCTCAGATTTATTAAGATAGCTGCTAAGATGCTCGACTGGAAACTGATGACTTAACTGGACTTATTGACATGGACTAGGGCGCAACATAAACTGAATGAAATTGAAACTGAACTTAACTGACATGACTTACTGTTATGGAAATTAATTGATATTACTGAACTGAACTGGCTAAATTGATAACTTAACTGAAATTACTGGACTGGATTGACTGAATTGATAACTTGACTAATTTCATTGATTTGCTTGACTGGACCAAGAACTTAACTAAAAATTAGTTATAAACATGAACTGAAATATTAATATTAATTCATAAGCCAAACCGGTTTGAACCGGTCGGTTCGTGGACTGGCCGGACCGCCGGCCTACTGTGGCCGGGCGGTCGACTACTAACTCGGCCAACCAGCTTGCTAAGGTCTCGTGCGCGGGCGCTGGCTGGACTGGTGATGAGAACACGGCAAGGAGATTAAAGAATGCTGCGAGCCGCGCTTATCATGCACGACGGAGGTTAAGCCGACGGGCTGCCCAGGCCCAACTCATTAGCGGACATGC